GGGAGAATTGGGACATGCTTTGGGGATTCTTTTCTTTTCCTTCCCCTGTTTTCGTGGGGGTGAAGGAGGGGGTCAAAAGGTTTTCTATGTTGCCATTGGATTCTTCAGGGCCAGAATTTTCATAAAATAAATTCTTACTATGCAATCTTTTTTTTTTCTTTTTGTTAAACCCATATCAGTGTTTGCAGAAGTTGGTATTTTGTCGTTGTTAGAATTGCCTTTGCTGCTGAATATGGATAATATAGCATCTAAACAAGAAATGGTCATACTGGTTTGTGAAGAAAAGGCAGTCTGTTATCACTTACTAGCTTCACTATATCTCATCATACATGGGATCATAAGAATGTGATATTGGTTTTAGAGTTTTATATGTTGTCATGATTCAACCGTGTCCTTAGGTAGATCAATCGAGCATGTGAAGCTAACATTTGAGTCACTGTGCATTTCTTAGATGATCTAGTTTGAGTACAAAGCACTTCATTGTTGCTTTTTCAAAGCTAGATGTTTGAAGTTTTGTTCCTTTTACTATATCTGATTTTTGATGCTTATATATGAAATCATTCCTTGTTACCTATTCAGAAAAATTTAGAAAAAAGAAAAAGAGTAGGAATATTTTATCACCAATGACCAAATTCTGCCATTGTTGACTGATTTCAAAAGTCAAATTGTAGTATGTCCACATTATAAAGAAAAGTGGTCAGCAACTGGTAAAGGGTCTTTTATCTTGTAGTTGTATTGTACCAGATTTTAATCCGAGAGACAATGTGTTTGCTTTTTAGTTGCAATTAATTGTTTTCTTTTTGCATTCATTTTTCTTCGAGCTTCAGTTCAGTTTTGCTTTATTTTATTTATGCTCATGTAATACAGTTCCTTTGATTAAAACTTCTCTTTCCTGTGACAGTTACTATTCCATGTACGGACATGTGGAAAAGCTAGCAGAGGAGATAAAGAAAGGAGCTGCATCTGTTGAAGGTGTTGAAGCCACACTATGGCAGGTGAGTGCAAATTATCCTTTTTTCATGGCATGCTGCTTTATTTTAATGGTCTACCAGCTTTACTTCTTTTGTAGTTTGTTAGTTATGTATTAATTTAAACTTACTGCAAACAAGAAGCGAATTTGGTTTAATCTTAAGAACCATTGGTCTTTCCATCAACAATTTTCAAGGGTGATAATTTGCCAAGTTGCCTTTTTGTCCAATATTCCTGATTCAAACCCACATTTTCCATCAGGATATGAGCTTAAAATCTTTAACATTTCCATGTCATTTCAGTTCCCTTAATTTCATCCAAGAACACTACTTATTTACATAATTGTAAATGCAAAGCCTTTTGTGAAAATGAATGAGGAATCTTCAGCCCAGCAGAGTTAATACTTAGTAGCTTAAAAAACTTGAAAATTAAGGTTACTTGTAAATTTAAAGAAGATGGAAAAAGAACAGAAATCTTTGTTGGGATAATATTTTATTGAAAATTGGTGTATTCCATGATATCTGAATTTATGGTTATTCTATCCTTTTCTTTTTCCAGATAACCTCACAATCTTCTTCTTCTTCTTCTTTCAACTGAATTAGCATAATTTCTGATCAATCTTCTAATATGAATTAAACTGATTGGTTGTTCTGTTTAAGCATTATTTTAAATTCTGTTGCTACAAATATGTAAATATGGGCCATGACTTTTAGTGCCAAAGTGTAAATGCTCTTGGCTTATTGAAAGTGAACGTTTTCATGATTCTCTTGTTAATTGTAAATCCAATTTGATAAAATGAAATGACTTCAATGGGTGCATGGACCAGGTCCCTGAGACTCTTTCAGAAGAGATTCTTGGGAAGATGAGTGCTCCACCAAAGAGTGATGTACCAGTCATTACACCTCCAGATCTTGCTGAGGCTGATGGGTTTGTTTTTGGTTTCCCAACAAGATTTGGAATGATGGCTGCTCAGTTTAAAGCATTTTTGGATGCAACTGGAGGTTTATGGAGAGCACAACAACTTGCAGGGAAGCCTGCTGGAATCTTCTATAGTACTGGATCTCAAGGGGGTGGCCAGGAGACTACGGCGTAAGTTCCTTTGTCCTGTTTGTAAACTGAAGATACTGGAACACTTGAACCCAAAGATGAAAAATTTCTCACTTGTGTCTCAAAATTTTGTATTTGTCATAGGTTGACTGCAATCACTCAGCTTGTTCACCACGGGATGATATTTGTTCCCATTGGGTACACCTTTGGCCCTGGCATGTTTGAGATGGAGCAAGTGAAAGGTGGAAGTCCCTATGGTGCTGGAACTTATGCTGGAGATGGCTCTAGACAGCCAACCGAGCTTGAATTGGCACAGGCTTTCCACCAAGGGAAGTACATTGCCAGCATTACAAAGAAACTCAAGGGAGTTGCTTGATTACAGTCACTATAAAGTTACAATTTGTCGTTTCATTTTTTAATTTCTAGAATTCCATTTCCTATATCTACGAGTTTGCAAAAAGGCAATAATTCTTGCTGTTGTTCAGTATATGCTTGTAATGCTTATTACACAGTCACTATTGTTCTTCACTTTTCATTAATGATAAAGTTTGCTCGTCAACACCATGTGCTTGTTCAGTATGATGGACCATCATTGTAGCTTTGCTTTTTGCCTTTTTCAGTGATATTTTTCCTTCTTGTTATGGAAAGCTTGAACAATCTTATACCTAAATTGTTCAGTTGAGTATTGCTTTGAGGAGTCACATACATAGTTTTTTCAGTTCAAATCAATGGTTGTCTGTTGTCTAATGCCTCGGGTTACAATAGGGAGTTTGATAGGACCCCTGTTTCTTTCAGAGCTTCTTCTGTATAAAAGAGATGCAAAGGATGCTAGCCTACAAAATTTTGTAAATCAAACCTAATATCAACTATCATTTTCATTAGGCACGCGAAAGTTGAAATTGATGACTGACGGTAACATACAACCAGGTATGAATTTCTAAAGCATATGGCACCTAAATTACCAGCTACTGCATGCGGTTGAACTAATTAAACAAGAAGTTACACTATTGTTTGTCAAAAAGATTTATTGTGCGCAGAATATGGGTCTAGCAAATAGCAACACTTCATCATCATGCCTATCTCCTCTTAAAGTTTTAGTCCTTGGGTTGGGTGGGTTGGGTTTCTATAATGTGGTTTGGTCCCTTGATGTTAAATTTCTAGGAGACACATTGACAGAAGCAATGATAAATTTGTTGGATTGCAGATGCAGAGTAGGTTTTTCCTATAACCATTAATCAATTTCATCTGGGAATTTCACTGTGGTGAAAGTACTTCATTCCTGCAACCAAGGAATTTCCACTGTTAGAGCTAGGCCTAGGCATCTTTGGAATTGCAAAATTATGAATTCAGCTAGTGACTCATCAGTACCCAATTACCCCATCTACAATGTGATTTTTTTTTTTTTAACAGAATGCTGGTTGCTTATGTTTATGCTGTGGTTCTATCCACTGGTTATGTTACTAGAAAGTGAAACATTATTATGCATATCCAAGCTGATTGTGAAGTTTTTGATCATAGAATTTTTCTAGTTTGCCAAGAAAGAAGGGAATAGAGAAAGAAACAGAAGTTCTAGAATTTTATAAAGAAAAAAGTGTTCCAACCTTTGGATGATATAAGATTCCAATTATGCTAGTTCTCATAACCCCATTTTCTTTGCTACCAATCAGGTCTAGAATTCTTCTATTAAAAATGCCTAATGATGATTATGTTTCAGCATTGGATGACAAAAAAGTTGAACAAGGGAACCTTCAAAGCAAAGACTCATATTAGAGATCAAACGATAACATGTGTTATGATTCAAAGGATAGCCTGGCAAACAACCTAGGAAACTTTTAAGTGGCATGGTCATTGGAAGTGTATGATTGTTGTAGAAATATAGGGTTAATTAATAGTCCTGATAAGTTTTCGGTGGAGGTACTGACCAAAAAAAAAAAAAAAGAAAAGAAAAGAAAAGAAGCAATGGATATCAAATAATTTTCAGAGCAATAGAATACCAATATGAAAAGGTAGCATCAACCATGTTGGTAAACAAGTTGGGTGATCATGCATCTATTCTCTTCCATACACACAAGGAAATATTTTTCATGACTTCTTTTTCCTTTTTAATGACCACAAGAATCTCAGAAATGAGACTAATTTGCTCTACATGGTAACTTTGCTTCCCAAGAAAAGAATGACTACTGCAGGTGAGACAAACAGAAGATGGTGGGAACTGGGAACAGCTCTACCATGAAAATCTCACTGATTGAAAGTAAAAAATATTTAAAGGAGTCTCTAACCTGATTAGACAGCGGAACCTCTCTTGAGATATCCCAAACAATAATAGAATTTTCACTGATATTGCTTTGTGATACATCAGTGGAAGATATAAACTGTTTACCATTTCTGGTAAATTCAACATCCAGAATAGGACCTAGACCACGAAGGTATTCATGAACTGCCTTCCCAATTCTGATATCATACAATCTGAGTAGGCCTTTTGAACCCCCAGAAAGGAATAGATTGGGGTTATCTGGGTGGAACTTTACAACTCCAACAACTTGATCCTCCTTGAAAGTTTGCGTTTCTATTCCTTTTTCAACATCAATTAACTTTGATGAGCAGTCGTATCCACAAGAAAGCACAAATAATCCTTGCTGCGACCACTTAACATCTTTGACAGCTCCATTGTGAAAGTTAAAAACTCGTGACTTCTTCTGACCTCTGCTCCATACATTCCATATGCAGATTGTATGATCCATCCCAGCAGAAGCAAGAAGATGAGCTGTAGACTAATTCCAATGAACAGATTAATGAGACCAGTACGACATACAATAGTATACAATGCATTGAATTGATCAAACACCACCTAGAGGCTGAAACCATCTAACAACAAAGTAGAATTAGAGTAACAGATGCACTGAAAGTCTAAAACAGCATCCTGCAAGCTAATACTAAATGGAAAGCGCAGTTATAAGGCAACAAAAGCTAAAAACAAAGACCCCCCAGTACAACCACTAAATAAATAAACAATTGTAACAAAAAAGAATAGAGAGAGCAGAGACACTGAGTGGTTTTCATACCATGACTAGGTGACCAATGAACAGCATTAACAGCCTTTGTGTGCCCACGAAGAGCACAAGATAGCCTCTCAGATATTTGACTTAGCTGTGCATGGCCCTTTGTTTTTTGTCTCAATAGTGAGGAAATGTCATGTGGCAGATCTGAATCTGAAATACTTCCCATAACTGCGAAAAAGAATTAATTATATCAGTTTCAGAAACACTAGGATAGAAATTATCCTTTTGCAAGTGAAAATTTTATAAACAAAACAGTGTGCATAAGCCTATAGCTTCTGATGCACATCAACTACAGCAATAAGGACACTGAAACATTCGAGTGCCAACTGTGTCATTATTCACCATGATAGACAATTCATATAGATAAAACCTATAGGCATTGCTAAACTTTAAATTAATGGTATAGGCATGCAAACTAACTATTGACAATATCACAGAATAATCAGAATTTATCTTAAAAACTATCTAATTAATGGGAGAATTTAAAGGAAAAATCACGTGAATTCCTTTAATACTTTCACAAGATGCCTAAAGCATTTATAGTGATCTCCATATTTCATACAGCTCTAGAATTACATCTCATCACAACTATAGTGAAATATGTTAAAACTCATAAGAGTTTCATAAGTTCTAACCTTGGCACACCAATTAAAGTTTTACATGAAAAGAAGTTTACATTTAACCCGGTCACATGCATACGGAAACACATAAAATCTTATACAAAGCATGGGGTCTACATGAAAGATATTGAAAATGCGAGGTATAAGAGCTGAAAAGAAAGATAGATAATAATTTGAATCAGAAAGAAACGACAGATAGATAGAGAAATAACAGCGTCTCATAAAGACAAGCACCACTAACGTAACAACAAGTAGTGCATTATATTCCCTCCAACCTATTTTATATTTAACATTTTCAATTTTGATATCACATTTTACATTTCAGTCATAAACTCCTCATTGTGGCACAATTTTAATTCTTTTGCATAAAAATAAATGTTCAAAATTTGAGCTTAAGAAACTTCCCTTAACTTCGAACCAAACACTGCTACTTAACCAAATTTTGTTCTTTTCCCACGTATGAAGCATGACCTGACTGACAAAATTACTAAATAATAGTTTCCATCAACAAACTGTGACACTCTATGAGTAATGAGTAGGAGAACTACATGAATGCTAGGAAAAGGGTTCGTAAAAAGTGTGAGAGCATTATTATCATTTATCACCACATCTCACTAACTTCAATCTAAGCTTTCAAAGCATTACCATCATTATCTCAAGCATTAGACATCCCAAGCCATCTTTAACACTTAAATCTAACAAGGCCTTCTACAAGAGCTAAAAAACTACCCTTCTGCTACATTCAACCAAAAAGATAAATCCTTTTGTAAGATAGAATCCAATTTGTAAAACACAGTAAGACCAACAAGCATCACTGGTAAATTAATCAGAATGGAATAACAGAAGAAAAAAGTAAAAAGATACCAGATTGAGTCACGACTGGAGGACCCAGATGGTCGAGGTTCGGTACCGACGGTGGCGAACCCAAAAGCGCCCTTTCTCTCTTGGACACATATCTTCCGGGAACCGGAGCTTCTATACAGAGATCAGAGTAGGAGTAATTAGAAGGAGCTACAGAATGGTAAGGATAATCGGATTTCGAAC